CTCCTTATTATTAAATCACCTAACTAACAATCTCCTTCCTTTTTAGGAATGCCTGAAGCAGTTACCCCATCTACCCCATCTAGAGAGCTAATTCTCTAGCTTTATCTTTATCTTTTATGTTTTATTGATTTTATTGTAATTTCTTTGATTTGCCCTTCTCTGTACTTTTCCTTTTTTCCAACTCTTCAGTCTCCCATTGAATCATATCCACTCAGAATATACACAATATACCCTTTCTTTGCTCTGAAGTTCTTTTTATCCCCTCCTTTGCCTGGAGATTCCATCCTGAACATACTTGTTTATTGCTTCATCTGTTTGACATTTGAAAAAATACAGTTGAGCTGTCACTTGTGAAGGGATTTATGCGTATCTATGTCTGCTGCCATCAAAGTGTTCCTTTGATTATTTTTTTTTTCCTGTTGGCCCACCTGCAAAGGATTGGAAAAACCATCTGGAGTATATGTCACCTTCAGGCTGCAAATAACTCAACCTTGTATGGAACCATTGTCCATTTAGCTCTATGAGAAAATATTAAAAGAAAAGTATCCTGTTAGTTGCCAGCTTGGGCGTGGAGGGGGACCTAAAGGGGGAAGTGACATCATGTGTATCATTACATCATCACACGAATGACATGATTTGTATCATTTGCGCAATGACATCATGACAATGTCATCATGGTTTCTATTGGACAGGGTCAGAGAATCACTTTGCCTGGTCAAGCCACAGAAGATAGGTCGGAGCAACCATTGCTTCATCCTTTTGGTAATTGGAGTGCGAGGGATGGTGTTCTAGAGTCTTAATGGACTGCCAATTGATGTGGGTTGCATATATAGGCAGCACATGGAAATATTCATTTCAGAGTGTATTGCAGAAGTGAATTACTTCACTGGATATCACTGGGATTGCTCTATTGCTGTGTTCTGTGCTTCTTCACAATGGTTCGAGGTTGTCCAAAGAATTGCCCCTCTTGCTGGCACAGAGATGTTCTCGAGAAGTAACTGATGAGCCCAAAGTCCAGTTTCATGTATCAGGGGAAGGTAAATTGTGAACTACCCATTTCCACTGTGTTTCTCTCGGTGAGAAAAACATCTTCATATGAGGGTTTTTTGAACCAGTAAACATAGTCAAGCAAAAAATTTGAAATGTTGTTTAGAAGTTGTTTAGACCTGAACAACTCCCACTGTTTATGCATCTTTTGAAAAATGTTTTTGGATCAAATTCTTGAGGCTTCAGAATCCTCAGTTTACTGCTGAGCCTTTATACTGCCTATAATCTCCCCAAATATGCATTAAAATGACATTGGATATATCATTCAGTGGCTATTTCTGGACAACATAATAGTTAAGAGTGCCAGAGCAACCTGAATCCTTCTGCCTCTTCTTGATAACCAACAATTAGTAGATTAGAGCATGGGGTGCAAAAGCCCTGCCCACAGGCCACTTACTACCCACAAGCACCACTTTTGCATTCCAGAGCCCCCCCCCCCCCCCCCCGAGTGGCTAGGGCCAACATTTGGGAAGTTTTTTGGTTTTTTG